ACCTTAGAATCCCTGCACAAACAGAAGCAAAGAGAAAAGATCCCTTTTATTTAGGATAATCAGAACAGACAAAGGGACCAGAATGAATTCTTTTCACCAGTCCATTGAAGTATTAGAGTGTAAAACAATTGCAGGACCAGAACTATCCTGCGCTTCAGTGAGTTGCCTTGCAATAAAGCACTACAATTTAGGCACTTAGTCACACAGGGAACTTTTGGCAGGATGCTAAATAACACAGAAAAGTGGCAACATGTTCAGGAGATACAGCCCCTTTTCCATCACCCGCTTGGTCCACTCTCTATTTCTCAGGTATGTGCAAATTTCATGGGCTTCTGGATAGAACCTCCAGCATAAAGATAAAGTTAACCTGTTAAAAACCCACAGAGAGCTTTATAACCTACACAGTTTGAACATACCAGATTACCAAACCATAGCATGACCAAGTAATAGCAATACATGACAACAGATGTTAAAGATTTCAGTGATGACTGCATTGTAAGGAAAAATAATTTAAAATGTCTTATTAGTACATTTCTACATGGAGATTGTTAGGCAAAAAAAAAGTTTTGCAGACAACCCTATTCTTGTCAGGACAGTTTTATCATTATTTGATTCAAAGTAGGTCCGTTTACTGACTCTTGTGGTAATGTCCATACCCACAGGTTTCAAAAGGTGCTCATGCATCCCAATGGTATCAAAACTAAGACAAAGCAAAATGCATAAAGCAGTTCAAAGTAGCATACATATTAATAGTTTATCATTTGTGAATTGTAAAATAACTGAAAAATATTGGACAATATTTCAAAAATTCACCTCAGCAAATTTCATTTAATTAAGGACAAAGATCATGTCAACAGGAATATGTAAAAACAATCCTATCCCAAAGGAAAACTGAATTAAACAGAGACTGGTTTGAAAGAGGTGAAGATTCATGACTATCAAATACAAAATGTAACTTTTAAGTTTCTAGCTACACCAACCAAAACTTGTGTTGACATTATATCTAAATACATTCCTTTGAAAATTACCATTATGATTAACAGTGTTGAGACAACTTAAAATTCACAATTTTCAGTTCTTGTTCTACAAAGGCATGAAGTTTTTCCTTCACCAGAAGTACTCACATTTGTTGTGTACTGTCGGTATGATCTGAGAGTTTGCATACTGATTAATATATTCTAAGTAATTTTCTCCAGTTGTAGAAAACATGCTATTATCCTCTTAAATCACAACCGGGATTATTTAAAATGGAAAAAAAATCCTTTTCTGTCCTGAACATATTTCCTATCAGTGGCAAAGAACGTCTCACTTCTGATCTTACTCAGACCTGAAGCAACCCATATGGGCCTTCAATTGTTAAGTTAGCATTTTCCCCAGCAGGGTGCTCCGCAAAGAACACAACAGCAGTGAAAAGAACTTCCTATTGTCTCCTAGTTACAAGACAGAAAAAAATCTATTAAAATGTCGAGGTCTTTCTTTATATCTTAATAATTTCCTTAGTCACTGGTGCTCAAAGTAACTTTAAGCGATTTGAAGAAAGCAAAATTAGCTAAATTCTTTAATGCACGGATGAATGGCAGAAAACAGAGCCTTGAGGGTTTCAGAGCTAGAAACTGTCCCTAAAGACCTGCTGTGATGTCCTTATGTGATAAGGCTCCACAGTAACACTAAAGGCAAGGCATACGATTCCTTGCATTCCTCAAGAACAATTCCTGGCAATCACAAACTTTGTGGAAGAACAACATGAAAGCTCTGGACAATGAATAAGGGTCATCTGCTCTTTATCACAGGGCTAAACCTCATCCTGCATTGCCTCTAACCTTTTAACCCAAAGAATTCTTAATTTGCACATGAATAATCAATTTCTCGACCATGGCGCAAGTATCAGCTTTTAGTTTCTAACTCTGGAATCAGTGACACCTCCCAGTGTGGCCAGGTCTAACAATTCTTGAAAAGATTAAATTTAGAGTTTTAAATATTATACCAGAAGTTACGTGTGATAATAGGACAATCTCTCTGGCAAATGCTTACAAAAGTACATATAAAAAGAAAAATCCTGCACCCTGTTACCAGATCTGATTCAGAATGAATCTTATTTTTCTAACTACAAGTACCATTTCACTGCTTGCTTTACAATGTTTTGTATGCGGCTGCAAACTTGAAAATAATACCTTAAGAGCTTCCTTGGAAATACAGATTAAAGAGTCTTACATATTGCTACATCAATATTGTAATGGCATTGACTTTTCATCCAACAAAAAAAATTACAAAATAATGCAAATTTCTAAACTAAAAAGCCTTTTGAAACTCTAGTCTAAAGTGAAAATTAAGTTCTTTGAAAGATTAACAGTATCCCACAGATTGTTTGTTAGTTTATTTTCCTTCTAATACTCATTTGATGTTGATAATGCTGGGGTAGTAGTCCACAGGTGCCAACAAACCTGCAACATCTCAGTGAAGTGGTCAATTTTCAACTAAGAGCCTAACGAATTATGATCACCCATACAGGGATCACAACCAATGCAATCATTTCCTCATTTTCCATTAGCATTATTGGACACCTTGGGTTGTACCCTCCATGGGAACAGTTAACTTGGCTGGACTAAAGATCAAATTTTATGTAAGTTAAGCACTAATACTAAAGAAGTTTGACAGACAATACAAAAACAATAATAGATATTACCTTTAAACTCAGGTGATCATGGCTAGTTACAATTATATTAAAACATAACTAACCTATACCAGCAAGAGATAAATTACTTTCAAGTCCCAGAGAAATAACAAACAAGTGTGCAATGTAAACTGTATGTCCTTTGCTTGTAAGTCCTTTGTATGATCTGCCTGTACCGCACATAAACAAAGCTTTTCACTGATGTTATTTGTTGTATGTCAGTACAAGTGACAATCAATAGTAATTGTGCAAAGTTTTAAAAGGAACAAAAATTATTTTAATGATGACTTTACCAGGGTGTAATACATGTGCACCAGAAATAAGATCATATGACTAAAGATGTTCAATGCAAGTTGTACTGAAAGAGACAGTTACACAACTTTGGAAGTCTTTGCACAACACTACTCTGCTTGTATCCCAACAATTTGAGAAAAATCAAAAGTCTGAGGACAGAACTGCCACAGAAGTACCGCTGAGTGCTGGTGCTGACGATAACACCACATGACTGGAAACAATGAATGTAATCTTCTTACAATAGATCAAAGTATTTCATCACAGTCCGAAACAAATAACTGTGTACCATGCTTACAAACTACCATTTTGGGTCTATTTCCTAAATTAAATATACATCTTTCAGTAGAAGAGAGAAACCTAAACATTTAATAATGCAATTTCAATATCTGACTTTGCAATGAAGTACCAAAGTGAAAAACTGCTATGAAAGTGAGCAAGTAAACCAGTACAATCAACATGGAAGATAGAATTAACAGATTTTCGGATAAGATTAAAATGCAGTCATTTTTAGATCCCTAGTTTCTCAAGGAATGAACTGCAAAATTTCATAATTTACTGTTAACAGTAAAACTAGAAATGCCTTTTAAAATCACAATGACAATTTCTCCAGAAAGTGTAAACAGCAGAAATTGGAATAGCCAAGGACACCTGTCACCTATATGACAAATATCAGATCTCAGAAATTTTTCCCAATAATTTTATGTTCCAGAACGTATGAATAAATAAGTTCATAATTCCATTTTTTCTCACAGTGGCACAATGGTTAGCACTGCTGCCTCACAGCGCCAGGGACTTAGGCTTGATTCCAACCTCGGGTGACTGACTGTGTGGAGTTTGCACATTCTCCCCTACGTCTGTCTGCATGGGTTTTCTCCCACAGTCCAAAGATGTACAATTTAGGTGGATCAGCCAAGCTAATTTGCCCGTAGTGTTCAGGGATGTGTAGTTTAGGTGGATTAGCCATAGGAAATGCAGGTTGCGGGGTTAGGGTAGGAGGTGTATCTACACAGGATGCTCTTCAGAGGGTTGGTGTAACTTGATGGGCTGAATGGCCTCCTTCCACACTGTAGGGATTCTATGATCAGAAATTATTGACATTTGGGGAAAAAAAATCATTCCCTTATTTTAAGTCATGAAACAAAATGAGGGCTGCCTCTAACTGCTGATACATGAAACAAGTCCATATAAAGCAGGCATACTTGTGAATAGCTCCAAGAAAGGACAGGACAGAAGAGGGAGAGAGGAGAGGGACAGAGAGGCACACAGAGGACTGGGTAGAGAGAGAGATTAACACACAAACACATACACACACGATGTATGGTCTTCTCACTGCCTTCACCTTAAAATTAAGTGGTGAGCAGGTGAGGCCTCAGCTAGCCTCCCCTCATCCCAAATGCGAAACATACTTGGAGAGTGCAGAGGAGTTAAGCAATGAGGAAAACTCAGCAGATTACTCAGCTCAGGTCTCTGGTGAAAGTTGAGAGGAGCCTGCATGCCACATCAGGAAATCCCCCTCTCGAGATGTGCACTCTCAGTGGTCTCTCCATTAAGATGTAAAATCCATCTCCTCACCCCCTTGACCTGCCTCCCTACCACAACTACCACCTTGCTGTGCTCCCCACATTTACTTAGTCCTGTTCTCTGTGACTCTGTCTAGTTTTGACCATTACTGGCACTGCTGAAGCTACAAATCTGATTAACTGCCAGCTCTCTGAAGCACAGCATCTACTGGATTGAGGGGTGGATGTTCCTTCTCCAGTCAATTAACAAGATTTAATGATCACAGGTCTCCTTCAAAGGGAGGAGTGAATTCTTCACTGACTCTTCCTATGGTTGGCCAGTGAGCAATACCATCCAAACAATCCTTCTCCACATTTCACAATCAAGTTCTTTATTAACAAACTTCAAAAACATCCTATGGTCTCACATGACTGAAGAGCCTAGAATCCTACTGATCTGAACAACATTTGCTAAATACAGTATTTATTTTGGAGAAAAGTAGTCAGATTAAATGTGCTCAGACAGTAATACTTACTGGCCACCGACAGATGGGATTTCTGACTCAAAATGGCCCCATATTTGTTTTGAGCCAAACATTCATAGAAGCCTTCATCTGATCGCTCTCCTTTACGATGTTCAACCTCAGTGATGTAAAGAGATCCATTTGATAAGATGTATATCCGCTCATTATCAACTAATTTCAGGCTGTTTTTCATCCACACAATGGTAATTGGGAGTTCTCCGCGAGCCTGGCAATCAAGAACCACAGGGTCTTTCCGCAACACAATGACATCTTGGGGCTCCCTCGTGAAAAAGAGCTCAGAGAAGCACCAAATACCTGGAAAACACAACACAATTCATTCCAAACCTAAGACCTCAAGTTTTCATATAATGAAATCAAATGTTTGATAAATAATTTCTTCTCAACCCAGTAATAAAATGATGATCCACGTGCACGGAGCTTTCAAGACACGCGTATTTAAAAACCATTGTGTGAAATGGTGTATGATTACTGAAGTCAAATTTTAGAAATTTTGCTTTCACATCAATTTGAATGGTATCGATGTAAATTCAAGACTTCCATTGGTCATAAAATAATTAAACATTGCGAAATGTGTGTTTCAGAATACTTCACATCAACTTGTTACTAATTCTCAGGGTGAAAGCTTCCATTTAAATGGATCTTTACTCTGAATCCAAGAACCTCTGGATCATCCTTAAACAATCTCTGAGCGCCAGACTTTCAAATTCCAAAGCAAGATATTTAATCTTATCCATTATAATGGCATCCAAAAACAATTAGCCCCAACTAGCTAATCACAATCTGTAGTCTATCATCAGGGAAAAACTTCTAACCCCATTTTAACTAAATGAATCCCAAAACTCGTACCAAAGTTCGCTTGCTGAATTGTGTCTCTAGTGACTATGTACAGGCAAAAATGTTATTTTCTCTAATTAGACCTAAATTTAACTGTTTATGTTATAGCCATTATTACAGAGTAAGGGGTCTTCAGGGTTTCTCTTCCAATCCCCACCAAATGGAAAGTGAATTATTAAATTTTATGATTTAATAGATACATTTACCCTACCAAAACATGAACATCTATCCTACGAACAAACAGTCCCTGTAAGTAACGTTTTATAATACTGCAACATCGCTCAGTGGCATCAACACCTCACAGATCCAGAGAAGCATCAGGGTTCAACGGTTAAACTCAACCAGAAAATAAACTTCGTATTTGGAAAATCAAAATTCTGTGAATATATTTTTAATTTGAGTGGGGGTGGGAATGAAAGAATAATTCTGTCAAACATGTACGGAAGTATCTGGAAAGCAGTCACATCTACAGCGCTTTTCCGTGCAAGAACTATCACAAGGGCTGGATAGCACCTTGCGCTGAATTTCTAAACCTTCAAACGCTACAAAAAGGGTACTAACTAATTCAAACAAATCGAGGTACACCGAAGTATGGGTGTTAAAATCACTGCAGGGTTGCATTACAATGGTGGTAACCTTTTATTGGGCTTTTATATGGAGCAGAAAACTCAATTAAGATCCGAATTAAAAGGAGAGCACTCTTGTAAAAGCGTGTTATTATTTTGATTCTAAACACCAGGTCGATAGAAAGACTTGCTCCAATCTGAAGTTGCAACCGGTTGCTTTCAGGGTGGACTTCGCACAAGATGTTTGCTAATTTTACAAGCTTGTCAAAAAGGAGCCTGAACAGGCGAAGTCGTAAAAGTCTGATTTTACGAGAAATCATTAGCAACGGGCTGTCCTTGCGTATCAATAAGCTCTGACCGCCGTTCTCCCCCTCTCCACTTTGCACCCTTTCTCCTGGTCCAAAACCTAGACAAACCACGTGTGGAGAACTGACTAGTTCTAGTTTTGAACCTTCATATCACATGTAACCCACTTGGCCAACATTACATTCCACGAGAATAACCAAAAAACATTAATAAAAAGACAAAGTCAAAAACAGCATCGCCCTAAATGATGATGTGATTTAACAAGGCTTTCAGATATTTCTTGAGCCTGACAATCAACTCAAGTATGTCGACTTGTTGGGTAACGTGTCTTTGACCCGGCAAAACAATTCATTTACATCAAATTCTTAGAAGGTTTATAGCAGCTTTCATATTACGACTGAAATCTTTCTAAAACAAAAGAGTTGAAGCTGGAGTCGAACTTTAATACGTGAGAACCGACGTGCATGTCTAGTGATCCCAGGGGAACAAAATCCAGAGAAATAACGTATTTTTAGTTGGTCGTACATTCGCCAGTATTAGGGCGATAACAGCGGGGATCGCTTAGAGGTCCCGAAAGAATCTGCAGTACGTGATCGAGAGGAACTCCGATCAATTGAACAATCCCTTCTATCAATACAGACTCAGAATCTGTAGAGATTCTGCTCTGTTCTCCCTCCCCCTCAAAAAAACCCCGACTTGAACAGGTTTCTGGGATGCAATGAATCCTTCCGTTTAGGGACAATGTAACTCGGCAGGGGATCACACCAGCACTCCTAAAAAGACAGAACAACTTTGCCTTGTTTTTTTTCCTGCAATTCCTCGATGGGGGGGGGCGGGGTGATCTTATTCAGATGCCCGGACACTTTTTCCAAAAACCAAAACGAAAATTGCTCATTTTCCAGTGGCAACAGATTCATCCAATTGATATTTGGTATCAGTACAAAAGGCAATGTTTACAAATGTTCAGTGCTGGGCATTAAGTCACTTCACAACTGGGATCAATCCATTTACATGTACATGTACACTTTTGAAAAGTCCAAAATAGCGTAACTGGTCAAAATTGGAAAAAGAAAGTCTTAAGGAATAGGAGTTAGCGTGGCCAGAGACCCCACGCTGTTGTGGAGGAAGGGGCTACTGAGGGACGAGTGAATCTCTTTGAAACAAAAAAAAGTGACTGATCAAAGGGGAAAAAAAAACGAAATAAATAAATGCACGTGGGGAGCAGGAACCGGTACCATGTTGCAGCGTAGGATCGTGTTGTAGCGACAGGCAACTTTTTTTTAAGTGTCTCTGAGTGTGTGTTTACGTGGGTTGAAGGGGGGGGGGTTCAAACATTGTGAGTGCAAGAGACAAGCGCACTGGAAGGTGGTCAGCACAAAAGCCAGGGCTGAGTGCGGACACTGGCCGGCCATGAAGTGAGTGGCTGCACAGAGATGGGAGTACCTCTCCCTCCCGCTCCCCACATCTCCTCACCCCAAACCACCACCACCACCACCCCTCAACAACAACATTTCACACCCACAACAAAACAAACCACTTTCCCCTCACTCCCTGAAACCCCACACTCTTGAGGCCAGGAGGAAGAAGGACATCAGCCCCGGCTACAATGGGCCGGAGGGAAGGTGGCGGTTGGTGTTGGAGGTGGGGGGGGAGGGGGGATGGGGAGGTGGGTAACGGACACTGGCCACTTCGGACATCAAAGCTCCTCTTCATCCAACAACTAAAACAAAACCCCATCAAAAATCAAAACAAAAACACTCACCCGAAATTGGAAGCAGCAAGACGATCAGCGCTGTCCCCCAACAAGTTCTCCCTTGAAAAGTCTCCATTTAATCCACAGTTTCCTCACTCATACTAGAAGCCCCCCCTCCCGCCCCCTTGTCCCCCTGGCCCTAGCTCCGGCTCTCTGGGGCTGCAGCTCCCGGAGCCTCCGCCTTCAACTCACTGCGCACTCCTTTGCCAGCCGCGCGTATACACGCACACGCGCGCGCGCGCGGCGACGCTCCGGCCAGCCGCAACACCGGACCCGGCGGCTTCATCCGCAGCTGGGAGGTGCGCGCGCGCGCCCTACTTTCACACAGACCAGGAGCTAAAAGGAGCAGCGGGCAAGTGGAGTGCTGGGGATGGGGCTGTAACTAGCCAGAGGGGTGATGGAAGAGATCCTTGCGAAGTCAGGAATTGCAGGGCAGCCTCGCAAGAAGATTTGTGCATGGCATGGATTGGAGGGCTGCAATGCCTGGAGATAAAGTGCGTAATAGGCATTCGAGGGCAACAACATTGTGGGCAGCAGTGCATGGAGATGTGTGCCTGAGAGGGGTTTGGAGGGCAGCAATAATGTGAGCAGCAATGCATGAGGTAGTCCTGTGACAGGAATTGGAGGGCAACATTAAAATGGGCACCAGTGCATGGAGATGTGTGCATGGCAGGAATTGGTGAGTGAAATTATTGAGGCAGACCAGAGGGCATAATCTCAAAGTAAGGGCTTGCATATTTAAGACAAAGACAAGGAAGAATTTCTTCTCTCAGATGATAATCAAACAGTTAACCTCTTTACCACAGAGGTCTGTAGAGGCTGGGTCATTAAGTGTATTCAAGGCTTAGATAGACATTTTTAATCAGTAAAGAAATCAAGAAGTATGGGAAAAGGCAGGAAAGTAGAGTTAAGAGTTCTTAGATCAACTGTGATCTCATTGAATGACAGAGCAGACTCGATGTGCTGAATGGTCTATTTCTGATCATATGTCTTATGGTTTAAATCCATGATTACGTGTGCTGGGCAGGGATTGGAGGCCAACAATAATGTGAACAACAGCAATGCATTAGCATGAATGAGTACAGAGATTGGAGGACAGGATTGCATGGATGTGTTTGAATAACAGGGTTTGGAGGGTCACAGCAACTGGCAATGCACATACATGAGGTTGTTGACTTGTTCGCCGAGCTGGCTTGTTTTTGTTCAGACGTTTCGTCACCATGCTAGGTAACATCATCAGTGAGGCCTCACCCACAACCCAAGCTACAAATCTTTGCTAAAACTTTAAATGTATGTGCATGTTTGAATAAGGAACTGCAGTGGAAGTGACACTACATGCACATGAGTGAATAACAGTGATTGAAGAGCAACAGGAAACAGGGAAGAGTGAGCAAAACCTTGAGACCCTAAGCTTTGGGATACCAATGTATTTGTAAGAGGTCATGGAAGGATCAGGTTGGAGATTTTAGGGATAGTATTGGGCAGTGCACAACCCAAATAAGTCATGAGGTAAGCAAGATAGCTGCACAAAGCAGAATGGAAGCATAGGTACAGCACAGTTTACAGTAAGAGAGCACCAGAACTCCAATCAGGTTTGTGATGAACTTAGCACCAAGCAAAAATTCTGTGTAACTGTCTGCACTGCCCCTTTCATGGATCAGTGATTGATATTTGATCTTTTTGATCTGATACTGAGGCATAATGACCAAGAATGTCGAGGTTCAATTCTTACTTCTGGGATCAATGGGTACTGAGGGCCAAAAATACCTCATAAGGACCAGTAATAACATTCTAATTTAGTTAGCAACATTACTTTTTATTGCTTTTTAAAAGATATTAGTTTAATTGAACCACTCATTCATGTATGTTCTAGCGGTGCCCTAAGAGCAGCTATGCAGCTTGTTCTTGTTTAGTGACAATGGGGAACCTTAGTGTCACCTTTATTGATCCAGTTGAAAGAGATCCAGGTTCACCTCTGTGACTGTATTGATTGAACTACTTTCAGCCAGCAGTGAGAACTGTCATTGATCCCAGTGGAAGCCCTTTCTAAAGAGGGGGAACCAGATTTTGGTCCCAGTGATTACTGTAAGAAAGTGCATAGGAATGGTTATCAGCCAAGTACAAGTCTGTACACAGCTGTGATACCCCTGACATTTGAATAGCCTCTCAACATGTCTTACTCTCTTCATGTAAATGTTCTGAGTCTTGATCCACTGTCATCCATGTGTCACTGCTCCCTTTACAGTCTCCATCCATATCACATTTTCTACTTGGATGATTGATTATTTGAAAAAGTAATGCAACAGCCCATAAAGATCGAGTCAGTTGGGACACAGTAAACATAAATTGATAAACCAGAATATCAGTAGACTGCAGTGGTATTAGACCACAGAAATTCAGCAGATTACTAATAAAATCATTGCTCTTTCAAAATAAGATGACATTTTGTTTAGGTTTTGAGAATTTTTGTGATTATCAAGTTGAAGAATGTTATTCCTGGAGAATGATTCCATTTTTGGGAAACCCAGTCTCAGCATCATACATTTTCAGTTGAAGGATCCAGATATCCCCTGCCTCAACAACAATGATACAACTGCAAAGGAGCAGTCCTCAGTCCAGAGCATGAATTTTTCCACTTTCTACAGCAGTACCGTTGTGACCTCTCGCAGTGGGTGTGACAATTTGTGCCAAATTGACAACAACGTTGTACTGTGGGTCTACATCCAATAGGAACATGTTTAAGTCTTTCCACGGTCACAGAGTTCAAACCAGTTCACACAGAAAGTTCCATCCCAATCATCCAGGCTAGATTCAAACTTAGAGCTAGACCTTCAGACCTGAGAGATAACAGAACAGCACTCTAACCAATTGTGACACACTTTTAATGGATTTTAAATAAACCATCGGCAGAACAAGTGAAGACGGCACTCAGTAGAGCACATATCTGTGCTACCATGTGTTAATTCAACATTATTACAATTACTCAGTTCTTCGTTGAGACTTTCTCCTGTCTGGTTGATACTCTGTAACTACAAACCGAAAAAAGTAAATCCTTTATTAAAAGCTTTCATCTCACTGACGAGACTTCAAGCCAATCCACATCTAACATTATGGCCTGAAAACTCTTTCACATTTTGACAGCTGTGACAAATTCCACCACAGCAGCTAAGATAATCCATAAGATTGATAGCATTATAAATAAAGCAACTTATAACATTGGTAAAGAGAAGGTCAATTTACCCTATCTCCCAAAGTTAATAGATCTTTTTTAAAAATTCTCGGATTCACATCCACATAGAGTCATCGAGCTGTCTGCATGGAAATAGACCCTTTGGTCCAGCTTGTCCATGCCAAGTAGATATCCTAAATTAATCTAGTCCCATTTGTCCCTTCCTATTCACATATCCATCCAGATTCCTTTTAAATATTGTAGTTGTACCAGCCTCCAACACTTCCTCTGGCAGCTCATTTCATGCATGCACCACCCTCTGTGTGAAAAAGTTGCATCTCAGGTCCGTTTTAAATCTTTCCCCTCTCACCTTAAACCTATGCCCTCTAGTTTTGGACTCCTCCACCCCAGGGAGAAGACCTTGACTATTCACCCTATCCATGATTTTATAAACCTCCATAAGGTCACCCCTCAGCCTCCGATGCCCCAGGGAACATAGCCCCAGCCTATTCAGCCTATCCCAATAACTCAAACCCTCCAACCCTGGCAACATCTTTGCAAATCTTTTCTGAACCCTTTCTAGTTTCACAACATCTTTTCGATAGGAGGGAGACCAGAATTGCATGCAATACTCCAAAAGTGGCTGAAGCAATGTCCCATACAACAACAACATCACCTCCCAACTCCTATACTCAATGCACTGACCAATAAAGGTAAGTGTACCAAATGCCTTCTTCACTGTCATGTCTACCTGCGAATACCTTTGCCAAAATCTAACTAGTTCTTCTTTGTGCCACACAGTCTCTCTCTACCCAGTTTGGTGAAACCCAATCAGTTTTTGGGATGCAGGCCAGATTTTTGAAAATCAAAAGGACACCAATGCCATTCTGCTGTTCCCAGCAGCCCCAATTTTCATTGGAGCAGGATAAGGATGCAAATAATAAGCCTGCCACTGTACAATCCTGACCTGTTCAGCTGCATTAAGGTGGAGTAGGCACTTCAAAACTGCCAAAATCTTTATGGAATTGGGATAGTTCCTAGTTAACTCGTGTTTTCATAGCCCCTCAAAAGAGTTGTAGACTATAGTCGGGATTCGCAGAACTTTTGAGGGATAACTTCACAAGCTCTCACCCATGCATGTCATAGCCTCCTGACAACTCATGGTGTTTCCATGCCCACTCACACAACATACTATACACTATGTACAGAAACAATTCATCCTGTTGTCAAAATTGCATATGTGAAAATGCTTAGAAAAGCAACCCAATAGTAAGTATTTGAAAAGGACTGTTATGCCTAAAATCCTATAAAGGTGTCAGTCAAATAGACCATCAAGCAACATAAGAAACTGAAGCAGAAGTAGGCCATTTAGGTCCTCAAGCCTACCCTGCCATTCAATAAGATCATGGCTGATCTGCCTCAAGCCTCAACTCTTAGTAAATAATAATTCTTTATAGCTATAAATTCCTGTATATTTCAAAAATCTATTTGCCTCTTGCAGATGCTGGAGTCAGAGATAACACAGTGTGGAGCTGGAGGAACACAGCAGGCCAGGCAGCATCAGAGGAGCAGGAAAGTTGACATTTTGGGTTGGGAAGGGTCCCGACACGAAATGTCAATTTTCCTGCTCCCCTGACGCTGCTTGGCCTGCTGTGTTCTTCCAGATCCACACTGCCTCTTATATAAATGTTTCCAGTGATCTATCCTCTACAACTCTCTGAGGTAGGGAATTCCAAACATTCACTGCCCTCTGACAAAAGAAATTTCCTTCATATCTCAATTTTAAATTAGTCTTCTCTTATACTATAACTGTGTTCGAGTTTAAGGTACCCCCATGGGAGGAAACATGGTAACATTTATCCTGTCAAGTCCCTTTAGAATCTTATATGTTTCGATAAGATTGCACC